GTTTTAGCAAAAGCTAATTCTAAAGCACTAATGCACTGAAAGTTTTAGCAAAAGCTAATTCTAAAGCACTAAAATAACCCAGTCTTCCCATTCTTCAACAGACAACACGTCACATTTTACCATGTTACTCTCTTAATTCTTATCATTGACATTCCACTGCTGTATTTGTATTCGTATATTGTCAATATATTGTCACCTGGTGGATAAGTGACACATGTGAATGTGTGACAGCTTTCACCCTCAGCTGTTAACATTAAAGTTGATCAATAACATTTATAGACCTCAGTTAATGCTTCTACATTTAGCCTATAAATTTAGCAAGTGCTAATCCACTACTACATTTTAAAATGAGCAAAAGCCCTAAAGCACTAATCAGGAAATTAGTTCCCCTATTAGTGCTTTAGGGGAACTGTGTCCATCACTGAGTTCCTCAGTTTATAAGGTTTTATYCGATGAATTTATGGGTCTGATGCTATGCAGCAAAGATAATCTTGCCTTTGCTGTGTTTTCTGTTTTTTAAGTCCATCCATCCACCCATTTTATGTATACGCTTCTTCCTTTTAGGGTCGCGTGGGTCACTGGTGCTCATRTCTAGCAGTCACAAGGCGTTTACGCACTGCAGGGCYGGCCCCGGCCCCCAGATGGCCTAGGTCCGGCCCTGCCCAGCCCTGGATGTTTTGCATTGTCATCAGAGCCGCCTCGAAGTGGGTGGAAACTGTTTACCGGAAAAGCGTGCATAACAGTCCTTAAACGTCGAGTGAGACGATGAATGGTGATGGCAGAAGAGCGGAGAGTTTCTGAAGACTGTACTTGGCCATACAACAGCAACAGAAAGCGGCTATAGCGAGAAGCAGATGGCATCGACGAGTAAGCTAGCAATATTAGCTTGTTAAATTCTACTGTTATGAAAGCAGTTGCTTTTTCATAGATCTATATGTTTTTTAATGATTTGCCAGACTCGTTTTGACTCGTCAGAGCAAAACAAATAAGTCGTCAAACCGGGCCGGCCTGATTGGAACCTCGCCTGGCCAGGTTCCGGAACTCGGGCCGGAACCGTCCCTACTATGCCTATGCACAACCGCCGAACCCAGGTTAGAAGTCGGGCCGGGCCGGGGCCGGCCCTGCAGTGCGTAAACGCCTACAGTGCGAGGGGCGGGGTACACCCTGGACAGGTCGCAAGTACATCACAGGGACTTATACAACATTCAGGGCTTCAGATACATGCCCTTTAAACTCACTTACTCCTCTGGCTAATAAATGTGCTCTTGCTTGTAGAGGTTTTTTTAAGCACCTTCGTGTGTCACCTTTTGTTGATATAATATGATGTTGTTGTTTTTTTTCCTCATCTAACCTTCTGTGGTTTTTAGTTTTTCTTTTTAAAGGTAGAGCGACCCCTGCTGGTTGCTGCATGAACTGATCACCTGTTTCCCCCATGTTTTTGTCAAGTGTGTCTCTTAAATGGGTGTTCTTAAATGTAATTTCATTGTTCTCCATACAGTGACGTCAAAGGCATCATCATCATCATCATTATCATCATCATCATCATCATCATCATCATCATCATCATTTATGTGGATAGTCCACATACATAAATGACAGACCTATTATGTTTCTAGTAGTCTGTTAAAGCCAAAGTTCAGAACCAAAAACTTACTCGAAAGTAAAATGTAGAACAAATTTAATACAAGACAAAAAATGAAAGCAGAAATGCCCACAATAAAAACACAGGGAAAACTCAGGACACAGAATGTTGTAAAGCGAGACTAAKAAAGGAGAAATGACAGAAATAATCAGAACTCAAACACAAAGATCCCTAAAAACAACAACAAAAAAAAAACTTAAAGCATGAAGGGAGGAAAGATAATTTCAAACAAATAAATAACAGAAAAATACTGATCTGACAAAACCTTGGATAAGAAACAGGAAGTGCAATTCTGTCCTGGGTACTGGGAGGGTCCGTGTATCTTTTGGTCATTGGATTTTGATATGGGTGATATGGTTCTCTGCACTGATGGCTTCTTGACGGGGTCAGCAG